AATAACACATCATTGAATGTATTCTTTTTAAAGGCAAGCATTGAATGTTCCTAAATTTGGCTTGGTATCAGCCACTGTACAACTGAGCTCAGACTGGAGGAAGGAGCGCAAAACAAGGAATCAACCAGTTGTGCTGCAGCACGTATGTGCTAACAAGGAACCTGCTCATAAAGTGATTAGCATGACAGTCTACTGTTTCTTATGTACTGTCCAGTTACAGGCAGGGAGAAGGACAAGACCTGTAAGTGTTAATTTACTGCAGTAAAGAGAAAAATCTGGTCCCCTTCCCTGTGTTGTGTAAATCTCAGATTTGGACAGAAATAAAAAAATCTTGGCCAGGTAAAAGAGCTCTCCTATACGTATTTAATTGTGTGTAGTTGGGGTTCAGCTTTAAAAAAATAAAATAAAATCTTTAGCTGTCCCTGCACTGCAAGAGTTAAGTGCTCAGTTTGCCTATGTTCTATACACTGTATAGGACATGATGACTCACAGAATCTTAGACTGCCGGGGGAGCGAGGATGAAGGGAGCGGTTTGGGAGCCAGTTCGGATGGGTATAACTCTGTTATTTTAGCTCCTTTGGCAAAACAAGCACTTAACTCTTGCAGTGCAGGGGTAGTCCCACTGCAAGGGTTAAGATTTTATTTGCCTGGAGTTCTGCTTTAAGACATCCAGGAAAATGCAGAAAACTTTGATAGTCGTCCTGCCATAGCAGCTAGTAGAAAGTCTTCTATCACTGTAGTGGTAGCTATTGTTTGTATAAGCGGATGTTACCTTTCTATGGATTATTTGTCAAGGTGAGAGCTTCAATACCCAATGAGCTACTTCTGCTTCAAGTATATCACAAAAATCACTGCGCTGGGAATGCGTGCCTAACTACCTGATTGGACCAGCCGCAACAATGTGTATAGGTGAACAAATGTAAAGCAAATATGTTGCGCTCGGTCTATGTGAACCAACTGCACACTAAAGTGTTAATAAACGAATCTGTGTAAAAATTACAGCAATCCGTGTGAAAAAATTGATTCAAGTGGATTATTTACATATGACTAGAAGGTTCAACACACAAACATAATAAGAATAATAAAAATCAACACTGGAACCTTCAGAATTAGTGCCAGTGATCAACCTCATTGGTTCAGCATGTATATTTTAAACACGTGAACCTCTGGCCAGCGGTGTAGTAAAAAAACACAGAAAACTAAAATTTAAATCGTGCATATGTAAATAATCCACTTGAATCAATTTTTTCACACGGATTGCTGTAATTTTTACACAGATTCGTTTATTAACACTTTTTAGTGTGCAGTTGGTTCACATAGACCGAGCGCAACATATTTGCTTTACATTTACTTCTGCTTCAAGCCTATTTTATATTAATGCTGGAAGTGGTCCCTATTGCAGCTGGACTTTTGGAATAATCTTCAGACATGTGTGATATTTGATTATTTTAAAAATTGAACAGATTACATAATTCAAACACCATCAGTGGTATCTGTCTGGCCAGTGGCAAGTTGTAGTCTTCAGCGCTAAAGCCCTGCAAATAAAGGAAATTACTGTGGAAAAGGGGAAGAGATGAACAAGTCTTCGTAGATCCAAGCCATTGGGACATAAAATATAAAGCCATATCATTTCCTGTAGGCTAGATTGGTATAGTAACAATATTGATTGTTTTTTGAAGGCTAGATCACCATGGAATATCTTTACCATTATAGATTTTATCTTTAAGGAATTTTTATATGAAAACCTCAATACCATATGGGGTGTCTTGTGTACATCTTATGCATGCTGAGAAACTTAGACTTTACAGTAAATGTCCTAATTCTATGATGGAGAATTTAAAGTCGAAACGTTATGCATTGGCAGTCGTACTAGAGTGTGGTTTCCATGAAGCGTGTTTGCCGTATGATGACTGTTGTTGATCATTTCTGTCAATTTAGTTTCTAATCTAATTATTTTTAATGAGACCGCAAGAAAATACACATTCACTTCCTTCGCCCCTAACCCAAAGACCTCTGGATTCCCCACTCCCTAAAATGTTGTATACCTAAAAAGAGTGTGATACAACATTATTAGGCAAACTCGTAAAAATTGTGTTACCTTATTATTGGGTATAGTAAAGTGGAACCCAACACCAAAATCCCCTGCACCCTCTAAAGCTACTTTAAAGTGTTATCCCCACTGCATTCGTTGCCGTCCAGACAGGAGGATGGAGCATGGGTTTCCTATACTTGGTACATATGGGCTGGAATTGGCATTTAATAGTAACATTTGCTTTCCAGTGATTGGCTCAACACACTGTAAATCTCAGCTCGGCGGTCCAGACAAGTAAATTACTCTAGGATTGTCTTTTATAAGATCCACCTTAACCATAGCCCTAGTCATTCTTTCACTAGTTGGGTCAAAGCAAGAGGAGTGACAAAGCATGACAATCAGTACTTGTATGCTAAAAAATTTAAAATGACTGGGTTCTTTGGAATCAGAATGAAGAGTAGTGATGTAGCAAAGTAACCATTTACGTATGTTTAGATTCAGGCGCAAGCCCCTCCTTTTTCCACAACTCCATGTGTTCCTGGACACGGCCAGGGAGTATAAACTCCTCAACTGCCCTCTCTCAGTAGCTCAGAGAGGCCACAACTGATGAAGCAGAGGTAGCTGGGCAAGTGATCTACAGCCAGGTGGGAGGCCCTCCATTTAAAGTGCCATCGTTTGGGCAGCCAGGCCGAAAGCCTAACAGCAAGCGACTTCTCCAGAAGACCCAGCTTCTGTGGGGAGCCCCCTACCCAATTGCTACCATAGTACTCCAGTTCCAGTGGACAGCTTGGCTGGGGTGATGCAGACCGAGTGCTTAAGGAACAAATTGTTAATCACAAGCGGCTGTGTTCTGAACTGTTATACAGAAGTAGTGATTCTCAGCTTAACCTTGTTGTTTAGAGTCTTTGCTATGAAGAGTTCATGATTGTGCATTTTTGCTTCTAACTTTGCACCTGTTTTGTAAACTACAAGTTACAGTTACTCTTAATCTGATTATTCATGTACCTGGGAACTTGCTGGAATTTAGATGTGGTTGCCGAGTCATCATTGTGCGTTGCGGCGCCTTGCCATAAGCCAACAGTGTGCTTGCATGGGTTTCCTCCCACGCTCCAAAGACATGTTGGTAGGTTAATTGGCTCCTGTCTAAATTAGCTCTGTGTGTATGTGAGATAGGGACCTTGGATTGTAAGTTCTTTGAGGGCAGGGACTGATGTGAATGTAAAACTATGTAAAGTGCTGCATAAATTGCCTGTGCTATATAAATACTAATAACAAATAAATACAATGTCCCTTTAAAATGATATATATATATACAAAAGCATATTTACAATCATCACAGATATCCAGATGAAAATGGTCTGATTTACATTTCATTGTACATTAGAATTCATAGATCATCGAACCTTCTGTAAACTAGCTTCATAACCCCTGCCCTTTAGACATACATAAGCCTTTGTAAAGAACATCCATTCCACCTGTATAGTTCACGCAGCAATAAACAGAGAATTCTATAGTTCTTAGCAAGTGTGCACAAATACTAATAATGAAATACAACTTAATTTACAGATGTAGAGAATTTATGATTATATTCTAAATACAAAAGAAGGTAATTAACACACGTAGGACAAATAAACATTGGCTTTCATTAAAAAGAAATTTGTGCAACTATAATGAAAGCTAAATTACTGTGTAGGATTTAAGAACCAAAAAAAAACAAATCATCCTTAATTATACCATGTGACAGACAGAGTGTTTTTGACAATTAGGTTTTTATTGTAGTAACTGAAAAACATGCTGTATTGCTTAATATGGATATTGAATAAATATTGAACTAAATCAGATTAGCTGTTCCAACTGGAAATAAGTAACAAGCTTGGTTGAAAGTTTTCTAGGAAAGCAGCTGGAGGGTTTGGAGAGAAATTAAAATAAAATTGATAAGCGCAATTTACACAAACATTTGAAGTATAGGGTCTATTTTACAAAGAACTGCAGAGTGTTAGCCCCTTGGAGTGATTATGCTTCTACTTTTAAGAACATGAAAACTGGTCACATATTTTTTTAATGGAATTTATGTAATTCATAATATATTTTAAGATAAGATTTTTTTTTTCAAAAGTAAACAAGTGATAGTGAGAAAAAGACAACTGTTAAAATCTGATCACTTTGATGATTTTTACACTTGGCCATGGTGGGCTCTATGTAAAATAGAGGGCACTGATTGGCTGCCACGGGCTGAGCAGCCAATCAGTGTCTTTGCCTCACACAGAAACCACTTTTGGCCACAGCTTAGAGATGGAAGTGGCTGTGAGGCATCTGCCAGGACAGAGGTAAGTATTGGAGGGTAGAGTATCAATATTTCAGTTTAGGACCTCAATAAGTTGTGAATGGTATATTATTAAAGCAGGCAGGGGTAAAAAGGCAGGGGCAATAAGGTGAGCCCTTAAGACTCATCTCTTCAGGGAAGCCTATCCCACCCCAAACTATCCTCTGAACCATCACATTCTCAAACAATTCATCCCCACGCAGCTACCTCATGAATCACTTGCCCCTCTCTTTTAGATTGTAAGCCCTCACGGGCAGGGCCCTCCTTACCATCTTGCTTTGAATTGTATTGTAATGTCTTCCTTATATTGTAAAGCGCTGAGCAAACTCTTGGCGCTATATAAATCCTGTATTATAATAATAATAATAATAATTACAGGCAACTAGCCACTTTATTAGTTTCATCCAAAAATGGTCCATTATACCGTTCTCTTTTTCCCTTATTTGAGGGTCTTCATCAGCTGCTGAAAATGAATTTGCATAATTATATTCAGTATGTTTTTAATGACATGTACAACACAAGTAGTACAAGTTGAAATCGAAAGGGGAAAGGCGTTTTCCTCGGGCGGCATATTCCAGGGGGGCGGAAAAAATGCCGCCCCCCAAAACATTTAGGCAGCCGGGCTGCACAGAAACTGGCTGCCTAATGTCAACGGGGAGGAAGCGGCGGGTGGGGGAACAGGAGGAGACGTGGGACGGAGCGGCAAGAGGCAGGGGGGCGGAGACAGAGAAGATGGAAGAACCCGAAGACTACAAAGGAGGAGGCAAGGGCAGAGACCGCGATGGAGGAGGTGGGAGGCATCGCCGAGGCTCCAGTCGCGCAGTGAAGCTGAGAGAGGAGGCTGTGTTTCCTTAAATTTAAGCAATTTGACCACCAATTCCGCCATTAGCTTATCTTCAGAAAACGTCCAATGAAGTCTAGATTTCACTTTATTTACAGTTTATTGAGAGAGTATCAGTTAACCAAGCATTTACAATGGTTTGAGGAATTTTCTAATTTAAAGGCAGGCACTGATGCAGATCACAACCAGAATAGACACACCAGGTGCACACAGTCTAATATTAAGAGAGTTTTCTGCCCATTTGTATTATGATTACACGTCTCTTTTAAAGTAAAATCCAAACTAGCAAATAACAAAGTAAATGTTTCAAAGCAGGTGAGAAAAGTAATGAGGTTTGGCCATAGTTCTTATTACATAACCTGTTTATAGAAGTCCAAATGAACTCTCAGTTTAAATCAGCTAACTACATTCCGGGTCCACCAAATAAAAAGGTGTTTTTCAGTTAGTTTTTGTTTAGAAAGCAGCCGCATCCTGAGAGGAACAGACTGTCCCCTGCCAGCATACTGTAGAAAAGCACCCTTTTTTGTGTGAAAGTAGAAGCCTTATTCACACCCTGTGGTGTGAATAAGCTCTAGCTCACAACCAGAGCTAGAGCTTTTTAATCAGCTGGTAGTATGAGATGTGACTGCTTTCCAAAGGAAAAGAACTGTAAAGCTGTGTATCCATGGGTTTATTTATTTTTTTGTTCAACCCGTGGGCTGAACAAGAAAAATAGAACAGATTCCTCCATTAACTGCCGCTGCCAGAATACTTGAATGGAGTTAGCAGCTGATTGGCTGCAAGCTCCGTTCGGCAAATAATTTTCCAACCGGCTCCTTTGATCAGCTTATTGAGGGACACCGGGCGAAAGGGTGCTGACAAAGACACCCACTGTGCAAATTTCCGCCAGTTCATCAAGAACCGGCAGATGTTTGCACCGTGTATACCCTACTTAAGGCCATGAGTTTTGCTAGGATCCAGAGCACCCTTGTCAGATTCTCTAGTTCAAAAACTTTGCAATTTAGCAATTCTAATGAATTGTAAGCAAAAAACTGAGATACTAGTGGAGAGGAGAATGGATGTACCAAATAAATCAAAACCTTACAAATAGTAATTAGCTTTGAGTTCAGGTGGACCATGAGCTCAAGCCAAATCTATTCTGCTCACAGTACATTGAATGGGTGAACTATATGTCTTGTATGCTTGCCTGCCTAACCTCTGTCTGTGTACTAGCAACCAGTAATGCTGTACAGCCCACTGTGATGCTGGTTACCTCACAGTGTAATTGGTTGTTATGGTGCACCCATCTGCGTCCTAGCAACCAATGACACTGTGCAGCCCAGCAGCTAGCATCCTATCTAGCAATGATGATGTGCAGGTCTTACAGCGTCATTGTTTCCCTGGGTTCAGTTCGCTTGAACATTTGCTGAACCCATATTTCTGCCTGGGAACTTCCAAGTGAACCGAACCCGGCTCATCCCCCCTTACAAATAAAGTTCAGTAAAGATCAAAGTATATTTTTCTAAAGGATCCTTCTTGGGATGACAGCAACAACTTCAAAGGAGACTCGAGGGACCCATTAGAAGACCATGAGCACAGGGCCAAGACTTTGCACCTTTAGCTGATTTAATTGATCTGGAATTTAAAGGGGATCTCCAGGAATTATCTGCAGATTAAACAACAGCTGGAGGTCAATGTAATCTGTAAATAACACTTACCTCTCTGATGGCCTTTCCCAGATATGGCTCTCAGAAAACTGTGACCAGAGTGCAACAGTATTGCTCATTGCTTCTGATCTGTGTGCTTTCTAATTCCCATTCTTGCTATTTTATGGAGGGAATTAGTAGCTGGTGTGAAAATCTACGGAGCTGCCATTTGCAGCAAGTTCAACGGTACTGCTAGCTGAACACTTCCAGACCCTGCTATTTTCTGAATGGAATTAAAGCTGCAAATGGTGTCCCTATAGACTTCAATTGCAACGACTAATACAGGAGTAGACTCTTGTGAAACTACATGCCCCATGAGACGTTGCAAGACTCTGACAGCCAGAGGCATGACTCCTAGAGGCAGAGGGATGTGTTTGATCCATGATAGGATTAGTAGTTTCACCACAGATGTAGTGCTAAGGTTGCCTACCCCTAGATTAATTATACTCATAGTGTAGAAGCCACCAGATGTAGAAAGTGCACCGACCAGAAGCATTGAGCTAACAGTACCTCTGCACGCCAGTCATAGTTTTTATAGACCTGTATCTCAGGAAAGACCTCATGCAGGTAAGTGTAATTAAACCATGCCACTTATCTCCTACTGTTCTCTCCCCACATAATTCCTGGACTAAGGTTACGTATTACCCATAGGGGAATTTTCCAATGTGTTTCTGTTTTGCACTGGGTAAACTGTGATTTCTGGATTTCTTTCCTAACCTAATTTTAATTTACCACCTAAGTAGTTCATACGGTTCTGCTACAAAGTAAATGTCTCAGATGATCCACATTATGTTCACCTGATTGCACTGGAAGCATGCTACATTTCCTAATGATCTAATCTACCGCACGCAGCTGTCAGATGAAGGTACATATAGTAGCAGCTTCCTATTACTGAGACTGAGGTTTTACCTCTAATGCTGTAAAGATCTTTCACTCTCTTAGAAAAATACTTAATTTGTTCTAGGAACAATCAATACATTTCTTACTGTGCCGATGACCACTGGAGAAAATAGTAGCAACATTTTTTTTTTTTACTGAAGTTACTTAGGAATAGGTCACCTGCAGCTATCCGAATGTGTTCATCTATATTGCATTACCGGATGTATCTCAAGCTTTGATGAACACTTTTACATTTATGATTAGAATTTAAAGCAGAACTTCTGGCAAGTCAAATCTTAACCCTTGCAGCGGGGCTACACTGCAAGGATAAAAGTGTTCATTTGTCTCTAGGGAACTAAAATAACAAAGTTATACTCACCCGAACCACAATCCCGGCTTGCTCTTACACAGCTCCCTCCAACCACTCCAGCGATTCTATGTCCCTCGGCATCCTCACATTCTATACAATGTATAGAACATAATGAAAAAAGGAGAACCAACCCCCAAAGTGATGTACTCCTTGGGAATCAATCAAACAATCTTATTAAAAATATAACAATTTATTAAATAGCAATACAAAACCATAAACATAAAACCATATGCGTATGTCCTGCTTCTTATCTATATATTATATATACTCAAAATAATTTCTGGAAGGTCTAGCCAATTCATATGTTGATTTAATCATGCATAGTTTAGCAGTCCAATTTCAACTTGATTTATAGGACACTAAAAAAAATTATCCTATTGCAATTATTGTGACATCACACTTTAAAATCAAGTTGCAATTGGACTGCTCATAAACCATGCATAATTAGGGGTATTTTTTTTTATCCGGAGATGGACTTTAAATGCTTTGGTCTTAATCAGGATAACTGAAATAACAGATATTAGAAAAAACATTCACAGTGTATGATCTAACATAGCAAATAAGTGATTTGTGGCCTAGTCACAACCGCGTAATTAGAGTATTAAAGACATCTGTCCTTTCATATAGCGTGCAGTAGTTATTTAATATTTGACATGATTCTATGCTTCCCGAAATGAGGATTTGATAGAATTAAATTTGTATTGCAAGAGCACCATAGCTACTGTGTATATAAATAGGTAGATAAAAATAGATCTAAAGCAGGTCTGCATTCATTGTAGAAAGTTATGACACTGAACACACAGAATGATAACTAAACAAAGGCAGCAAAATGCCTAATAAAATGTTATTGTAAGAACTTTTGTAAGAACAACGTGTATGGTGTCCAGATGACATCATCCATTTCTGTGGAATAAAAACTTTTTTTTATGGCGTTCATATGTTTCTAACTGCCAATTACATGCAATGAAAACACTGTGTGGGTGGCAGTTTCTTCTTCTCAGCTAAGAAGGTCATAACCAGCATTAAAAATTATCTTTTTTGTTGTAGTGGAAGCTTTCCTTACTTTGTTTCTGCATGAGCCTTGCTCCATAATGCAGTGAAAGAGTTTGGCACATTTTGTCTTTCTAGTACTGTATGTTAGGTAGTATTCCAATAAATTATTTGTACACCTAATCATTAAATCTAATATAATCTTTAAAATGTTAAGGAATTTTCAAACATTATTTTCATTATTTTTAAATCTGCCACATTCCCCAGGCCTTTTCCTACCAAAATCTCCTTGAGTCCTAGAGTTTGTTTTTTTTGGGCGGGGGGTTTCTTTCGGCAATGGCTTGGTTTAGCACCTCGTTCCTTTTAGCATTTGTAGTCTACCTTAACGTATTATACATAATATTTGCAGGACAGATAAGACTTTAATTTAATTATATTTGCTTGTTTTTTATTGGGTAATAATAATTATTATATACATAATATATATATACATGTGTGTGTGTGTGTGTGTGTGTGTGTGTGTGTGTGTGTATGTATATATATATATATATATATATATTCCCAATGCCTAGCCCGATACCAGAACTTCCGGTTTCAGGAAGCTGTGCGGCAAGTCATTACACCCTGCCCGACTTCCTGATTGACCGGGAAGGTGGCTCCATGCTCCCTCGTCACTTGGTGCTAGCTGAACACTTCCAGCCAATAAGTAAGCCGGGCGGCGTGTAATGACTCATCGCCCAGCCTCCTGATTGGCCAGAAAGCCGGTTTCATGCTCCCTCGTCACCTGCTGGACGAGGCAGCATGGAGCCCACTTTCTGTGCAATCAGGAAGCCTGACGTCGTGTAATGACTTGCTGCCTGGCTTCCTGATTGGTGGGGAAGCTGGCCCATCAGGAAGCCAGGCGGCGGGTCATTATCCGCCCCCCAGCTTCTTGATTGGCCGGGAAGCCAGCCCCATGCTACCTGGTGACCCCCAGCTTCATGATTGGACAGAAAGCGGGCTCCATGCTGCCTCATCACCCGGCT